TGGACTTATAATTAAAGGATCAGTCCACTGAAAACTGATATTTAAGTCCATTGTCTGTACACCTGCTGCAGCAATTTCCATAGTCTCCCTTTTGTCAGTTTTTCAAATATTTTATGTTTAGCAGAATGCAAAAGGAGGGGGAACACCTGTGCTGTATCTGGGTGAATGATACTCCCAGGGGTAAAGCCAGGGGTAAGAACTATGGTAGTGAGATATTTCAGTTGAATTTCCCAGGGTGCAAAAGAAGCAAAAATGGGAATAGCAGTCCAACTATCTAAATCTATTTTAAAAAAGTGTTAATTGTTAGGTGCAATCACTTAGAGATTATTCTACTAAAATCAAACAAGTACAAAATGGATTCTGATTGGTTGCTACAGTATAGGGTACTTTACTTTAGAACTAGTACTGTTTATTGAACAAGGTCATATAATTAGGATATCACTTTTCTACAGTCTGACCTAGCAAATTATTTAAATCCAATGTAAAAAAAAAAATATATATATATATATATACAGTATATATATATATATATATATATATATATATATATAGTTCTGCGGATCTTAGTAAAAGGCTTCTCCAAAGGAATTCTGTACTGAGAGATAATTATAGACTGCCATTAGTGACCTTTATTGTTGAAATGAGCAAAGGTTGGCAATAACAGCCTCCATATTTTGTGTATCACAGAGCAGTGCTTTTTGACGTAGCTACAGCCCCATTCCTTGTTTGATTCCTTTATATCATTAACGTGCAGAAACATTTCTCCTCACTTATTGTTCCAATAGCCTTTGTTTCACCAGATTTGGAAGTGAGGAAAAATTTCCAGCAACAACACAGACAGCTATAAAAACACATATTTTTTTCATTAAAAAAGTGGGAACTGCTTTAATCCATTTTTTTAAATTGAAACAGCAATACTGCTCCAAGCCCATGCTTCAGCCTTGCTTATCCACCATGGGTGGAGTCATAGTGACTGAGCTTATCTCCACTGTCATCTAGTAAACAAATTGAGCAAAGTGCTGCACACTAAAATCAGCTTAACCTCTTTGCTCCGGTGGTACACATATATGCTGCCTCTTGGCGGGTGGGCCCTAACTCTGAGAGGCCACATATATGCGTACCAGATTGTAAACAGACCTGTGCTTAGAACACCCGCCCTGGACTCTCCTAGCACAGTTACTGGTGGCTAACGGAAAGCTCACACATCCTTCCAATCGAAATCTTCCCGATTATATAACCACTGTAACAGCCAATCACGGAGGTCACATGATCAGAAACTCAGCCTCATCTCTTGGCATCAGAAAGTTTTTAAAGGGCTGGGAGGCATTGGCATTAGGGGTTAAAAATCCACTTTATTTACTGGATAGTCCATAGTAATCCCCACCTTTGATCCTCTTGCTGTTTAATGTTTCATCCAAAAATGGCTTAATTGTAGTGGTCAGACGTCTCCTAGAACCTCTACAACTAAGCCCTTATTGGGTGAAATGCACCAGCAAGAGATTCGATCCCAAAAGGAGATTACTATGGACCATTTATCAATACAGTGGATTTTAAGTTGATTTCAGTTTATGACATTTTGCTCCCTTTGTGCGGTAGTTTCTTTATTTCTGTCTTTGTCCCTGTTGGAGATTTTCCCTTAGTTTCTGTCTGGTGAAACTATTGTCACTGGGATGCTAAGTGATGCTAAATCTCTATAAGGCAGCCCATACTTTGTTCATTTTTTTTTCCTCTCAAACAGTAAGTTGAATGAAAAAAAAAATGATCTGATTCCTCAAAATCAAACATTCAGTGTGGATGGGGGAATATTTCCTGCTGTGGTATTGTATTGTATTGTGTTGCAGCTATAGCCTGTGGCACTGATTATTCATAAAAACCCAATAGACTGATTGTACACAAGTTCATCAATAAATCAGCTTGCCCATACCTATTGAACCAGATGAATTTTGATAACCGTAAAAACATGGCAGGGGTTCTAACATTCCCTACTCAATCCAAAACTAAAAGAAAACATTTTGGTTGGCTATCCATTTTCATTGATACTTGGTTTATGGTACTGGCACTGTGTACCAAGCAGGTATAATCACCTAAAAAATATCTGATTGTGTTCTACATTTATATGCTCTTGTTTTGATTTGTATTTTAACTGTACTGTCTTCTGAATGCTACTACTACTACTATTACTACCAGGACTTTTTTTCTCAGAGAATAGACGCAGGAACTCAACCATGCCCCACAACCACCCCCCTACACACATAACTGCCACATCATCAAATAGTAGGTGGGGACAAATTTCACTAACAGTGGGAGGGTCTTAAAGGATCTTAAAGGGGCATTACATACCATTAGTGAATTACATACAGAGTGCAGAGTTCAGAAGTGCACTTCACACAGAGTGTAGAGTTCAGCCCTCTTCCACAGTTACTAACCTCTACAACTCCTATCCACATCTCACTTTCACCCTTCCTCAAGTCTGACCTATACACCCCCCCTCCACTGCCCTCATCTTCTCCCTCTTCTTAAAAGCTCCACCATCTTTCATGTGTTTTACTTTTGTTGCTGTATTAACCACTTGCCCTCCAGAAGATTTACCCCCTTCCTGACCAGGCCTTTTTTTACTATTCGGTGCTGCACTATTTCAACTGGTAATAGTGCAGTCATGCAATGCTATACTCAAACAAAATTTATCTCCTTTTTTCACACAGATAGAGCTGTGTTTTGATGGTATTTGATCACCTGTGCACTTTTAATTTTTTTACACTATAAACAAAAAAAGACCGAAAATTTTGAAAAAAAAAACCCAATATTTTTTACTTTCGGCTATAAAAAAATATAGTAAACTCAAAGTTAGTCATACAATTTAGGCCAAAATGTATTCTGCTACATCTCTTTGGTAAACAAATCCCAATACGTGTATATTGATTGCTTTGTGTGAAAGTTATAGTGTCCACAATCTATGGTATAGATACTGCAATTTACGCAATTTTTTAGCTATAAAGCGCTTGTCACGTACCTGATGGGAGACTGAAATGACGAAGTCGGCCTCACTTGTGTCACTAGCCCTGACCCCACTGGAGTTGGAACAGAGGGTGTCTAGGGACCAGGGGGACAAGAGCGCCAGTAGATGTTGTTTGCAGCTCTTGCAGATGATGACCTTGGAAGACTGATGCTCCTCTGATTCAGGTACAGTGGTAACATGCAGAGCTGGTTTTGTAGATCGCCAGGTGTGCACCAGAGCAAGGCAGAAAGCAAGGGTGAGAGACAGGAGCAGTGTCATAGGAATAGCCCGGGTCATCAACAGGCGGACAGCAGGGTACAGAATCAGAAGCAAAGCCAAAGTCAGGAGCAGAGCCGAAGTCAGGAACCAGTATCAATCAGGGGAGTAATCAGAGTCAGGTCAGGAACAAGTCGGGTCAGTAACAAGGATAACACCAAGTCCCAAACTATCTTGCCATGGCTCTCCATGTAGTGTGGGCATCCGGGGGGCTCCATGTGACTATCTTTTCCCTCGTAAGTTCAAAACATATATGTATAGCCTGTTGCCCTCTTACAGGTCTTATACATCTTGACCCCGTATCTGGCTCGCTTGCTGCAGAGAAATTGCCTGAATGCAAGGTGGCCAGAAAAACTAATGAGGGGCTCATCAACACAGATGTTTTGCTGGGGAGTATAGACATCTGCAAGTTTTTGGTTAAAGTGATTTACGAAGGGCCAAATTTTGTGGAGCTGGTCAAATTCAGGGTCACCCCGAGGACGACAAAGTGTATTGTTGTTGAAATGCATAAAACACATTATATTCTCATATCTATGCCTGGCAATGGCAGCAGATAGCACAGACACATGATGAATCAGGTCTGTGGACCAATACAACTGCAATTCATTATTTTTTAGTAATGCCCATTTGGGGGTTAGGCCCAAAAAAACTTTAAATTTGGAAACCGTAATGGGCTTACATGCAAATGGTCTGACAATGTTTGTATTTGGGTTGGCAATGATAAACTGTTGTGCATATAAATGGCTTTGATCCACAATCAATGCAGAAAGATCTTCCATGAAAAACAGCTCCAAAAAATCAAGGGGAGTAGTTAAATTTGCTGTTTCCACCTAAATTCCAGGTTGGGCAGTGAATGGGGGAAGTACAGGTGCTGCAGAATTTGTGGGCTGCCAATCGGGATTTGCAAGCACATCCGGAAGGACACTAGGGACTCTACGGGCCTGTGTTCAAATTCTGGGTGCCTGCGGGACACTACTTGTGCTAGCTACCGCACCAGCTTGTACTGCACCTATGGGACTCACCATGTTACGTGGCCCCCGGCCCGTGATCACCACAGGAGTGTGAATCACGTATATATATATATGTGATTTTGCGTACCCATGCCTTCCTGTAGCAGTATTTCTGCTATAGGGTGGACAGGAAGCTGTTAATTGGAAGCACCCAGTCAACTCTAGTACCTCCCCCAAAACTGTAGGTGGCTCCACCTCTCTCACTTGCAGGGAAATAATTCAATTGGGGCATTGGCATCCAGGTACCAAGAAAAAAAAAAAGGAAATCACACATGGTGCACCATCTGATGCTCCCCTCCTGCCCATGAGCACCTGCATTTCATTTGTCCCCATTGTGCACTCAGTGGGAGCCACTCAGGAGATCAGAGCTGAGCTGTGGGAGGCACTGGGAGACAAGCTGTTACTTGTAAACACAGGATCCAGACCTCTGTGTTTACAAGTGATAGTGGTGAGAAGGAAGCAGAGAGCCTGAGCTGGAGATGGTGGAGTTCCACCAAGTTTCAGATGAAAAAAAAAAATCCCTAACTACTACTACTGCTCATTGCCACTGTTAGATATCACGGGGCCCTGTACAACCTACCTGACAGCACCTGAGGGCTGGTTCACGCTATAGAAAGCAGTTCAGATGCATTCTGGATGCATTTTTGCATGTACATTTTTGGCGCTTTCCAGTGCATTTTTTATGCATTCCGGTGCGTTTGTGTATGCATTCCAGCGCGTATGTATTCTAGTTAATTTTCCCCCCTCTTTTTCTTCAATTTAAATAGGGACATGTGCATTCCAGTGCGTTTTTGGTGCGTTCCAGTGTGTTCTTGTGCATTTTACCACGTTCCAATACAGTTCTGTGCAGAACAAAATGCAGCCTGTTCTACTTTTTTTTTGCAACCGTATCGCACTGGAACTGCAAGCACTGATGTGAACTATGACATTGACAAACATATAACCTACTTTCTGTGCATTTTGGATGCAGAAAAAAAGCACACTGAAATGCATATAGTGTTAACTGACCCTAAGGGCTGGTTCACACTATAGAAATGCAATCCAGATGTGTTCTGGATGCATTTTTGCATACACATTTTTTATGCATTTTTGGCACGTTCTGGTGTGTTTTTGATGCATTCTGGTGCATTTTTTATGCATTCCAGTTCATTTTTGCCCCCTCTCTTTTTCCTCAGTTTAAATAGGGACGTGCATTCCAGTGCATTTTTGGTGTGTTTCCAGTGCATACAGATGTGTTTTGGTGCATTTTACCACATTTCAGTACAATTCTGTGCAGAAAAATGCAGTGTGTTCTATTTTTTTCTGCATCCGGAAAGCACTGGAACTGCAAGCACTGATGTGAACTATGACATTGACAACCATATCACCTACTTTCTGTGCGCTTTAGATGCAGAAAAAACACAACTGAAACGCATGTAGTGTGAACTGACCCTCAAGGCTATTATAGGTAAGGTAAGGGAACAGGACTGACCAGAAATTGTGAATGCAATCAGACTAGTGGTGAGATACAATTAGGAATCATATAATAATGCTAGATTTGACCTGTATGTGATAGGAAATGAGACACATTAACTAGATCAGTAAAAAAAATTGTGAAATAAAAAGAGTTGAACAGTGATATATAGAATTGCAGATGAAACAAGTGATGACTTTGGGGGGGGGGGGGGGGGGGGGGGGGTCAGGTTGTATAAGGAAAGAGAGTTTTGTAGCAGTGAACAGAAAGGTATCAGCAGTCTGGGGGAGAAGAAAGGAACAAAGTTGCATTCAAATGTAAATAGAAAGAAACTTAATAGTGTCAAACCTGTGGAGCAGAGCAGGAGCACCTCTAACATTCAGAACACTGATTCGCTGTGTGATAGAATGACAACAGGCTAACAATGGAATTTAGCAGCTACAGATGGGCTTTGTCAGCTGCCTGGGCCCCCCCTCTGCAGCTGATGGGGACGGGCCCCCTACAGGAGGGCCGGGGGTACCCTCTTATCAGCAGCCCTGCCACTGCTACTACTACTAATAATAAATTAATAATAATACTACTAATAAAAATAAGGCCGTATGTTTTAGCTCAAAGCTACTAAACTCACAACATCCTAAATCCAGTGTCTTTTACTGGTGCCTGTTCACCTATGAACTCTCAGATGCTTGTAGCTCAGTGCCTGATGCTCCACTAGCTACTTTTGAGGAAGTCTGGCCATTTTTTGTCTCATTAACTTTAATGGAAATGACTGTAACTGCTTAAATCAAGGATTTTGAAAGTTGTACACACATAGAGTGCTTGCAATATGCTTATAATATGCTTGAAAAAGCACTCAAATAAAAACGCCTGAAAAAAGTTTGGGTGTAAATGCAACCTAATACTACTATTACTACTACTACTGCTGCTACTGCCACTAATAATAACATTAAATAATAATTATAGTATTCATCACCAGCATCTCACACATCACAATGTCCTAAACAGTAAATGGTTTTGAACATTCTAAAGCATACAGTATATGTGTGAATATTCTAATATAAGCTAAGTCAATACAATATTTGTTTTGTATGCCATTCATACCTTCTATTTATGTCCATTACTTTGTAGTCCCTACATACATAAGTGTCCTCTAGAGTCCATTTTAAACATCAGTCTCCATTGTTAAATGAGCTTTCAGCCTATTTGCCCCCAACCCCTTAATGAATCTCTATAGATTTTGTTTACAGAAAAAAAAAATCCAAGGTCATATTTGAATATTATCTGCAAAGTATGCACACATTGCATCAGACAGGGAGGAAGTAAAGGAAAACTCAACATTTATAGTTATTACTAGAAGGGGGCCTCAGTGGGCTCAGATTATTGTACTTTAAGTGAAATTGATTTTGTACATGATTTGATTTTAATCTAGTTTAGATGAATCAAATTCTACAAGGAGCAGATATTTAATTTAGTACATTAGGATAAAAAGGACATTGGTTCAGAGGAGTTTAATGTATTTGATGTGATAAAAGCAGTATCTGATTATGATTTTTTTTTCAGTAATTCCTTGTTATTTCATTACTGCTTCAATAATTTCATCTACCCGTAATATTTTTATTAAATCAACAAAATAGCATAGTATTTTTGTGGTGTTTAAACAGGATTGTGTTGGCTATATTAATACATTAGGTGAAGGAGTGGCCATAATCAGATATTAGAGTGGAGGTTATAAAGGATTGCTACATGCTTGTTATTGGTGGAACTTGCATTAGCACTCTTCTACCAGCCGGCAGATCTAAGCTGTACGGTAAGGAAAAACAATCTAGTAATTTTCCACTCTACTGTTTTCCAATATGATCGGATAAGAGCTCTTATCAGCTGTGAGGTGGTACTTACCACACTTCCTCAGCCTTTTAACAAAAAAAGTGTTAAATTTCTTTAACTTAGCTATCACAAGCAGATTTATTGAGAGCAGCGTAATATATCATAGATGCAGACATTGGGTAATCAGAACCTCCTGAAATGCAGACAGCACTGCTAAATTACTGACATAAAAACATGAATGCCAAATAGTTATTTCTCCACAGTTCATGGAGCACTACCATGATCATAGGTATGTAATATAAGGACACTTTTTACATTTTACACATGTAGAGGCAGCGAAAAGAGCAGTGGGGGTGACAGCACTGAATTAGCACAGAGAAACTTATGAATTGCAGCCAAAACTGACATTTCAGTTATATACAGTTGCAAGAAAAAGTATGTGAACCCCTTGGGATTACGTGGAGTTTTGCATGAATTGGGCATAAAATGTGCTCTGAACGTCATCTAAGTCACAACAATAGAAGAACACAGTCTGCTGAACATAATACTATACTACACAAACATTAGATGTTGCCATGGTTTAATTGCACATAACATGTAAACATTCACAGTGCAGGAAGGAAAAAGTATGTGAGGCCCTAGCTTAATGACTTCTCCCAGAGCTAATTGGAGCCAGGAGTGAGCCAACCTTGACTCCAATCAGTGTGATGATATTGGATGTGTTGCTGACAGCTGTCCTGCCCTTAAAAAACACACACCTGTTTTGGGTTTACTGGTTTCAAGAAGCACTGTCTGATGTGAACCATGCCTCGCAGAAAAGAGCTCTCAGAAGACCTACAATCAAGAATTGTTGACTTGCATGAAGCTGGAAAGGGTTACAAAAGTATCTCCAAAAGCCTTGATGTTCATGTGTCCACGGTAAGACAGACTGTCTACAAATGGAGAAAGTTTAGCACTGTTGCTACTCTCCCTAGGCGTGGGTCGTCCTGTAAAAATGACTGCAAGAGCACAGCGCAGAATGCTGCATGAGGTAAAGAAGAATCCCAGAGTGTCAGCTAAAGACCTACAGAAATCTCTGGCACATGCTAACATTTTTGTTGACACATCTACAATAAGGAAAACATTAACAAGAATGGAGTACATGGGAGGACACCACGGAGGAAGCCATTGCTGTCCGAAAAGAATATTGCAGCACGTTTGAAGTTTGCAAAAGAGCACCTGGATGTTCTACAGCACTACTGGCAAAATATACTGTGGACAGATGAAACCAAGATTGAGTTGTTTGGGAAGAACACACAACACTATGTGTGGAGAAAAAAAAGCACAGCCCACCAACATCAAAACCTCATCCCCACTGTAAAACATGGCGGACGGAGCATCATGGTTTGGGGCTGCTTTGCTGCCTCAGGGCCTGGACGGATTGTTGTCATTGATGGGAAAATGAATTCCAGAGTTTATCAAGACATTTTGCAGGAAAATGTATGACCATCTGTCCGCCAACTAAAGCTCCACATGAACATCAAGGCTTTTGGAGACACTTTTGTAACCCTTTCCAGCTTCATGCAAGTCAACAATTCTTGATCGTAGGTCTTCTGAGAGCTCTTTTCTGCGAGGTATGGTTCACATCAGACAGTGCTTCTTGAAACCAGTAAACCCAAAACAGGTGTGTGTTTTTTAAGGGCAGGACAGCTGTCAGCAACACATCCAATATCATCACACTGATTGGAGTCAAGGTTGGCTCACTCCTGGCTCCAATTAGCTCTGGGAGAAGTCATTAAGCTAGTGCCTCACATACATTTTCCTCCCTGCACTGTGAAATGTTTACATGTTATGTGCAATTAAACCATGGCAACATCTAATGTTTGTGTAGTATTATGTTCAGTAGACTGTGTTCTTCTATTGTTGTGACTTAGATGACGTTCAGAGCACATTTTATGCCCAATTCATGCAAAACTCCACGTAATCCCAAGGGATTCACATACTTTTCTTGCAACTGTATGGTTGCTGATACATTGGAGTTTCCTTACTAAAGGTGTAGAGCCTGTTCACTTAGCAAAGTAAAAAAGCACAACTTTGTGTAGAGAAATGTTTCCTCACTTACTGTTCCAATAGCAATGGTTTTCACCAGATAGGAAGTGAGAAAAAATGTCCGAACCTGCTGACAGCTGATGATTCGTTACATTACCGCATTTTTTTATAACTAAAATACTGCATGTTTAACTCATGCAGTATTTTAGTAGCGTTTTTTACTGAATGCCAACAATTTTTTTTAAAAATGTTGTGTGGTATCTTACCACATACTTGGATGTGGTAAAATACCGCTTAGTGAATTGTCCCCTAAGTCTTTATTTGAGTATATCAGCAGTGCATTAGCCCAGAGAAACTTATCAATTGCAATTTACTTAGCAAAGTAAACCACCACTTTTTTTACTGATCTAAAAAATAAATTGAAGCTACGTTTTCATCCAACTATCCAAACATGTTAAAGAAAATAGATTTTTTTTTTTTTTTAATTTCCCTTGCACATGATAGGGTATACAATGGGAACACAGCTTTTTTTTTTTTTTGGCCAGAAATTCTCTTTTGTGAAAGTGATCCTAGTGGCTAATGTGCCTTCCACCTCCTTTCCTGGGCCCTCCCATCCTACTAGGATGACCATAGAGATGTTCAAGGACCGGCACATCTCCGATCATCTCTATAGTCTAAGAAACCAGAAGCGATGAGTATTTTGTTATTTCCAGTTTTGACTTTGTGTTTACTAGCTGGTTACCAGCCAGTGAGGCAGCCGGTCACATTAGTCTGTGTCTGATCAGCTGCTTTGGAGGCCAGAGGAGAGATCTGTGGTGTAATAGACCCCAGATATCTCCATAATGAGGATCTTTCATGGCTCCTGTACATCTTTCTGTGCTCACGTGCAAAGGCGAACCATACGTAGGTTGTGCATACATATGGTAAAGGTGTTTATACCACACATGTGAAGTATTGCCACATACTTTATAGCAAGAGCAATCATTTTAGCACCAGACCTCTTGTGTAACTCTAAACTGATAACCTGTAAAAGCTTTTTAATCTTCACCTATGGAGATTTTTAGGTACCGTAGTTTGTTGCGATTCCACAACTGTGATCAATTTTATGTATCTATTTACTCGTCCTAGCACCATCTTTAATATTTTAC